TCAGAAGTCCAAACACACAACTTGAGGAGACAGAGCAGGCATCAGAACCAGACACAGCAGGGATGTTGGAATTATCAGACCAGGAATTTAAAACTTTAAAGATTCAACTGAAATTAATTTAAAATTTAATATGCTAAGTTCTCCAATGGACAAAGTAGACAGCATGCAAAACCAGATGGGCTCCGTAAGTAGAGAGATGGAAATCCTAAGAGCCAAAAAGAAATGTTAGAAAAAACCCACTGTAACAGAAATGAAGAATGCCTTTGATGGGCTTATTAGCAGATTGGATATGGCTGAGGAAAGAAGCTCTGAGCTAGAGGATATATTAATAGAACCCACAACAACCAAAAAGCAAAGGGAATAAAGACTAGAATGCAGAATATCCAAAAACTGTGCGAAAACTGCAAAACGTGTATAACGTGTAATGGGAGTACTAGAAGGAGAAAACAGAATATTTAAAATAATGACTGAAAATTCCTTAAGTTAATGTCAGATACCAAACCACAGATCTAAGAAGTTTAGAAAACACCTAACAGGATAAATACCACAAAGACTACACCTAGGCATATGATTTTTAAACTACAGAAAGTCAAAGGTAAAGAAAATTATAACCTCAAAGAAGCTAGATGAAAAAACACCTTACATACGGAAGAACAAAGATAAGAATTACAACCAATTTCGCTTCACAAAGTCTTAATACAAAATTATACATATAGTATGCTGCTTTTTGGTTAAAAAAAGGAAATAAAAATATGTGTATTTGCTTTTGCAAAAGAGAACACAGGAAGTATAAACTAGAAATGAATGGAATTGCTTACCTTCAAGGGTGGAGTATGGGGGAAAGGAGTAAAAGGGATACAGGAGGGAGGGAAACTTCTCTGAGTATACTATTGTACTTTAGAGTTTTGACTTTTGGACTCATACTAATATATTGTATATTCAACAAATAAGCTTAAATCAATCAACATGGGAGAAAAATATCCTAAAACTGAATGTAAGCAGAAACAAGTGAGCCCACCTGCACTTCAAATAAATAACATAATCATAATGAACCCATTACTTTGATTTATATACCCTCAGTTTTAAGGGCAAAAAAAAAAAGTGGGAACCAATCTTTTTAAGATTTTTTAAAATAGTGGTGTGAATATGGCAATTCTGAAACTCACACGATTGTACTGTAGGACTGAGAAAGTGAGCAAACATAGTGAGAGTGTCGGGAGTCAAGGTCTTGCTGTGAAATAAGGGAGATACAAATATGGACAGGGAGGCAAGGTAGAATTAGATGTGGGGTTGGATTGGAATTAAGGAAATTTATATAAACTCCTGATCACCCCACCCATAAGCCTGCAACCCTTGAAGTTGCCCAGCCCTGAGACCAAAGAAGGAGCTTGGAGTCAGCGACAGAGACACTCACGATTTACTGAACAGGGTATCTTACATGTCAGAAGTGAAGGTCCTGGAGTGGTGCCTCTCTGTGTGCAGTGGCCGACTGCAGGCAGAACATGCAGCAATCTTCATTACTAGTGGAGGGAGGAGGCTACCATTTATAGCGGGAACTGATGTCTGGTTGGCTCCTCAGTTACCAGGGAAACCAGTGGCTGGGGCAGGGGTCAAGCATTATAGGCAGTTACTAATTAAGCCCTATAATTAAGAGGATTGGCTAGTCCTGTGGGTGAAGCTGGGACTGGTTGAATAGGGGGTGTACAGAGAGCAAGAGAACAGTCATCTTGAGTGGCCTGCATATCTATCTATCTATCTATCTATTTACCTATTTATCCTTAGAAGCGATGACACCAGAGTTGCAGTGAACAAACCTCGACTCCAGGTCCTGGTTTCTAAATATCATTTTTCACTAAAAGGAACACAGGTGGCTTGGAGAAATGGCTGAATGGCTGAGTCCAGGGTTGGGGCAGGAAGGGTTCAAGATGAATCTGGAACATCTTGTGGTAACTGAAAGTAAGAAAGTCAGAAATGATGGGGTCATGTCCCCAAAGACATAGGAGCCACTTTGAGCCAAATCTGGGACAATCTGAGCATCAGTGGATTATTACCTATTGAATAAATTAAGCATCTCTGAGGTCATACTGATAACAAATAGCTAATTAGGTAAGTATGGTAGATGGGAAAACTGTTTGTGAGAATAGAATGCTAACTAGTAAACATAAAAAGAATGGTGGTGCATGACAGTCTCAAATTGTACAGATGTCCAAGGGTTATAAGTAGACTGAGTCTCTACCTTTCTGCTGGGACCAATCACAACCTCCGGTATCCTTCTACCAATACCCCACCTGGCTTTCTGTTCCAGCCACAAAACAAGGACACTTTCATTTTCACCCGCCAACCCAGACCAAGTGATTCTCATTTAAGCCAAGTGAGGACACAGGTAATTACCACTGATTAAACCTTGGAATCTCCTGGAAAACTTGTGCCTCTAACAGCATCTGGGCTCCAGCCTCAGAGATTCCAGTTTAATTGGCCTGGGGTGAGGTGCAGGTGCCAGCATTTTTAAAAAGGTTGCCAGATGATTCTTTTGCGTAGCCAGGTTGAGAACTACGGGAATCAAAAACCATAGAGATTTCAGCATAGAAAACAAAGCATGAGAATTCATCAATATTCAAGATCTTACCTTGCTACATAAAATATCCAAATTTTTATCCTATCTGGGTGTTTAGTTCCAACCAGTTTCCTATGTGACTACATCTGCTATGGAAAGGAAGATAGAGGTTTGACCTTTACCCCGATGAGTCAGGGAAACTTCTGGTTTGGGGAGGACTAAATGCCTTCAGAATTAGATGCTCCTTTAAGCATTTTGTGGTATTCCCACCTACTCCCTTTTTCAGGAAGGTCAGTAATTGGGAATACCACAAAATGATTTCTAGGTCATCTTTCCCTTTACTGGCAAAGCCACTTAAAAAAAATAAGTGTGTGAGTGAGTCAAGGAAGGAGAAAGGAAAACAGTGACTAAATTATATTGTTGCCCTACCTTGGTCTGCATATCGGTTTGGCTTGTGTATTCCTGATTTCCAGGTCAAAATGTTTTCTTCACATTTTTACAGGGAGCACTGAGGGCTGGGAAGCGTCAGAGGGTTTTTTAATGGGACAGCTTCGATGATGTGATTTAAAAAAAATTCCTTGGTACTAAATTGTAATCAGTATTAAATTGATGGCATGGATAATGGAAAAACAATTTTATGGATTTTCAAACCCAGTGTCTCTTCAACTCACACGCAATCAAGTTTAAAACCTCTAAAGTTAATCTTCATGAACTGTTCACCAGGAAAACTGCTGTGAACTGCCGTCAGGGTTGATGTGGTTGCTAGTGGAAAAAAGGAAGACAATGTAACTGGTGAAAAGGGAGGCTGCTTTTTGCATCTGTGTAGTCAACAGGTGAAGTCTTGTCCTACTTACTACCAGTAGCTATCATCTAACTTCTTTATAAATTTCTATCTTCATCCCTCCGTCTTCAGAACTGTTGGAGGGAGATCCATGTGAGTGAGCAGAGGTGGAAGGGGTTGTCACCTCAAAATGCTTCTATCTATTTAGATCTAAAATATGGCCCATCATTTAAAAAAAGGCACAAGCCTTGTATTCTGGAAATTACTTTTTCTGTCTGCTGACTACCTTCTTAGCCTCTATACCTGTTCCCAGTTTGCATACTTTCCATTTCTTCTCTCCATCTGGGGAAATTTTCCCGTCCTACACTTATTACACTTCCTACTTTTCCCATGAAGTCCTCCTAGACCATTTTAGCTGTCATTGCTCCTGCAGTCACCTGAAGCTTTTGCAGAACACACCCCAAAATTTCGAACAAATTCTGCTTTTAGTGCTTGAGGCTACTTCACAGGCATGTCTTGTCTTTCTAACAAAACATTAAGCTTTGTTAAACTTTAAGCTGCTTCAAGAAAGGAATAGCTTATACTCCTGAATCTCCCCCAGCATCAAGCACAGCACCGACCATATTTTAGGTTAAGACCTTAGTTAATGATGAACTGAAACAAATACTGTATGCTAACACATATATATGGAATCTAGAAAAAAAAAAGGTTATGAAGAACCTAGGGGCAGGCCAGGAATAAAGACGCCAATGTAGAGAATGACTTGAGGACATGGGGAGGGGGAAGGGTAAGCTGGGACAAAGTGAGAGAGTGGCATGGACATATATACACTACCAAATGTAAAATAGATAGCTAGTGGGAAGCAGCCACATAGCACAGGGAGATCAGCTCCGGTGCTTTGTGACCACCTAGAGGGGTGGGATAGAGACACAAGAGGGAGGAGATATGGGGATATATGTATATGTATAGCTGATTCACTTTGTTGTAAAGCAGAAACTAACACACCATTGTAAAGCAATTGTACTCCAATAAAGATGTTAAAAAAAAAGATGAACTAACCTTGAGTTACAGAGATTTTGCATAATAAATTATGCAAATTATTTGACTGTGGTGTTTCCTTTTGGGACCTTGACTGATACAAAATGATATCATATTTTAGGTGTAAAAAGGGACGTAGCCATTTTGAAAATGCTATGACTTTTTCTTTTGTGAAGCCAAGAATCCTTTTGTAAAATGGAGAATCACCTTCTAATTTATCATTTAAGCAATGTCAATAATTTTTGAGTTTTTTGTCATGACACTTTTTTATATTTTTAAAAAAGATAAAAAATTATATTAAATTTTTTTAATCTTTTTGTTGAAGTATAGTTGATTTACAATGTTTTAGGTATATAGCAAAGTGATTCAGCTATACATATATATTCTTTTTCAGATTGTTTTCCATTATAGGTTATTACAAGATATTGAATATAGTTCCCTGTGCTATACAGTAGATCCTTGTTGTCTATTTTATATATATATTACTCTGTATCTGTCAATCCCAAATTCCAAATTTATCCCAACTCCCCTTCCCCTTTGGTAACCATAAGTTTGTTTTCTACATCTGTGAGTCGATTTCTGTTTTGTAAATAAGTTCATTTGTATCATTTTTTTAGATCCCACATATAAGTGATACCACATGATATTTATTATCATGACATTTCTACATAGAACTAAGGAAAATGAAAATGTTAAAACCATGGAAAAGGATGCAGTTCACAAATGGCAGTTTTCTGATGCTGTCTGATCACAGGTTTTGATGTGTCTGGGTTTGGTGGTCAGTTTATGAGTAGTTCAGTCCTCAGTTTCCCTCACTCCCTCAGTCTCAGAGCTTTTCTTTCTTCCTCCCTTGGCTTCCCCAAGGACCGGGTTGCATTCGAGCTCTGAGTGGGTATTGTGGACATCAGACTCTGGAACCCCTTTTGGTCTGAATGAGTCATTACGGTTTCCACCCTCAGAGAATTAGTCCCCGGTGGTCTAGTTGCTCTCTGTTCGATGACCTTTTATGGCATTGCTCTGTATGCTTCTTTAAATGATTTAAGTCTTCTGAAATTTCTTCCTTGAGTGTTTCCCAATTCATTCAAAACCTCAGAAAAGATTCTGATCTATTACGTTGAGTAACCATGTCTGCTTAACTAAGTATAACCCCTAAAATAACAGAAAAATGGGTACTGTGTATGATTCAGAAATTTATGAAGATAGAAGATTATAAATTTTTCCAGCAGTCTAAGTCTTAGATGATTGTCAGGGCTTGCATGCAGAACAGCTGGAATTCGTATTAAGTCCGTGATCTGCAGCTGAATCGGACATTGAGGTGAGCTCATGGAGGACCATGTGCCAATTTTAAGGTTGTACATACTTTCTGTGTAGCTTCCTAAGATTTCTTTACACATAGTGCTGCTGGTTTAGCACGCTTTGTCCTTTGCAGACATCTTACTAATCCATGTAACAAGTGAAGGCCAAAAAGAAACTGTCACCTGAGAGACCAAGGCTCTAGGTGGAGCTGACTTTCCTCCATGACAGCTGAAGACTGACAGAGCTAACAGGCAATGAGACGGATGCATGCCTTCAACTTGGGGATCAGGAAGGGGTGACGGAGAGGCTTAGGCATCAAGTCTCCCGCCTTGAGCATCTGCAATATTATCCAGTGACATTTTCTGACACTGAGATTGTCAGAGGCAAGGATACTGGACAGTGTTGCTGGTGAGGGAACCTGAGCACGTTCTCCCTTGTCTCCATCAGAGAGCTGTCTAGAGTCCCACGAGAGGACCAACTTCTGGGTTTAGGGCAGCCCGTTCCCATTTTCGGACTCCTTTAACTATTGGGAAATGTTCCTTTACACTTGGTATTTACATTTATTGTATTCAAATTTTCCTTTTGCATGTCTCCTTGAAACTTTTGCCCAGTTTATTTGAGAAACTTTGAGGACATTCTGGTATGCATCTCAACTTGGCGGATAGAACCCCTAAGGTGATAGGAAAAGGAGATCTTGAGTAAGACTTGACAGCTTGGGAAAGTAGAAGGATTATACATTTTATAAATTGTCATAAGTAGTATATTTTGCTACGTAACCAACTTGATTTACTTATTTATGCCCCACCTCAATTTACAAATGATTTTACATCACAGCTTATATCACACATACATAAAATTCAATGATAATATAAAAATAGAAATAGAAACCCAAGACCAAGGGGAAGGAAAATACAAATATGCCACCCTTACAGAGTAACAGAATTGCTAGGATAGGGCTTCAGGTTCAACCCTTGGTCAAAAAGGTGAATGTAACCAATTAACGGTTCTCTTAGAGAAGAGGAAACAAAACAGTTCTTCAGCAGAGGCAAAGCTTTGTTTCACACGGAGATTAAAAGAGACTCACTCAAGGACTCTACATAGTGACTCAGTAATATAGTGACTCTATATAAGACTTAGTAATGCTGAGTCTTTTTTTTTGTGTGTGGTACGCGGGCCTCTCACTGTTGTGGCCTCTCCCGTTGCGGAGCACAGGCTCCGGTAATGCTGAGTCTTATAATAATCTATGTCCTCAACAAAGGTTCTAGAGTAAACAAGGACTTTTTTTTTTAAATGGTTGTTACTCAAAGCAGCCTTTGATGAAAGCTAGCACGTTAACGTGAGCACCTGTGAAGTTATTCTGAAAGGAGCTAGACTTCACCAAGTGCTTAATTATATAATCTTTTGGAGGTAAAACTTGATTCAAAAATAGTATTCATAGCTTCTTAAATTTTTTTTAACATTTTGAAAATAATACATGTATAGACATGCACAGGTAAGTCAAATGATCCTGAACCATATAAAGAACTTGCCCGCGTCACCTCCTCTCCAGTTAATCCTGTGCCCCAGAAGTAGTCACATTGCTCTTTACTTCTTTTGGAATTGACTGTTCTAGTTTAAAATTACACTTTAATTTCTTGGTTTATCAACTTTAGATTATATCTATTAACCCAGTGATTTATGAGAAATTAAAAGACCTTTAACCCGTCTATCTTTCCTTCTGTTTCCTAAATGTGTTAGTTATATTATTATTTGCAGTTTTTTTCTGGTACTTGTCTTTAGGGCTGTATTTCAATATATAAATTCTACAGAGCACCTATTAACTGCACACAGAGGAGAGTTTTAGCACACTTCCATTTCCACCTCATGCCCTTGGTCCTGATTCTATTTATTATACTGTTTTTACACTGTCAAGGGTTATAATATTTCCATTATATTCTGTAATTATATTGTCTTTCATTTTCTATATATGGTTTCTAAATGTTGAAACTGGCAAATAACATTTAATATATATTAAATTATATATATGTATTTGTGTGTGTGTGTGTGTATATATATATATATATATATATATATATATATTACTATATATATCACTATATCACCGTATATGTAATGTGTCACTTTGGAAGCATGTAGTGTGATTAAACCCACAGAAAAGGAAATGCAAGTTTTTAAACAAACAAACACCTTCCCAATTGAGTTCCTTAAAGGAGATTATTTTAAGCACCAAGGTTAAATTGGTTTTCTTTCTAGCTTTGGTCTTTCCTTAGTCATACATACATGCGACTCTTTCCTCTTTTCCTCACTTCTATGCTCATTCTCAAGTAGATGGTTCTGAGAAAATCACAGCCTGAAGACTTCCACAAGCTCCCATCACTGCATCTATGCACTCCCCGCATCTCCATCCACATAAGTAACCTTTGCTCCTTTTATACTGCTCCGAGCCAAGCCCAGCTCCTCTCATTCTGCCTCCAATCCCATCCCCTTTTGCATATGCAAGCACACTGCTCCAGCAATTCCCCTTTTCATTCCTACTTCATCAATTTAATTTCCCCCTCTTGAGATATATGTATACGTATAGCTAATTCACTTTGCTGTACAGCAGAAATCAACACAACGTTGTAAAGCAACTATACTCCAATAAAAATTAATAAAAAAAATTTCCCCCTCTCTACTGGATCTTCCCATGAGCCTTCAAAGAGGATGTTATATTTCATAACAACAAAAAATTCTTTCCTGACCTCACTTTCTCCTCCAGCTACCCTTTATGTCTTCCTTGCTTGTCTAGTAAGAAAACTCTAAAGATTGACTAATACTCACTGCCGCCAATATCTTCCCAAGTTTCCACAGAACCACTCTTATCTAGATCACTAATTACATTCATGTTGCCAAATCCAGTGGTCAACTTACTTGTCCTGTCAGCAGTTTTGATCACTGTTTCTTCCCTTAAACATGTTCTCTTTTTTGGCTTCCATGACATGATACTCCCTTGAATTTCTGCCTATTTCTGTGGTTGCTACTTCTCAGATTTGTTTGCTCCTTTCTTCTCATCTCTCTGACCTCTAAATGTTAGTACATCCCAGAACCCAGTTCTTAGATCTCTTCCCTTTGTCCATCTCTACTCACTTTGGAACCTTATCCAGCCTCATGTTTTTAAATAACATTTCTACCTTGATGATTCATATGTATGTATGTGTATGTTTATATACGTATATATGTATTATATAAAAATAGCTCTCTTTCTCTCTCTTGTATCCTCTCCTGAAGCCAGACTTGTTTATCCAACTTCCTTCTCTATAACTCCACATGTATATCTAATTTCAAACCCAACATGTTCAAAACTGAAATCTTGGTCTTCTCCTCCATGTCTGTTTCTTTCAGCCTTCTTCATCTGAGGCAATGGCAGTTCTATCTGCTAGTTTCTCAGGTCAAAAATGTTGGAGTCACACTTGAGTCCTGTTAGCTTTACCTCCACAATGTACCTAGAACATGAACCCTTTCCACCCCCTCCTCTGCTACTACCCTGGTCTGACCCTCTCTCATACATCTCTTGTTTCCCTGAACCTTCCCTTCATCCCCTTCAGTTTATTTCCAGTACATCAGCTCAAGTGATAGATCATGTCACCCCCTCTGCCTGAAACTCTTCAGTAACTTCCTATTTTACTCAGTAAAAACTGATGTTTACCAATGGCCTCATAGGTCCCATGTAATTTGTCTCCTATTACCTCTTCTCCTTGTTTACTCTACTCCAGCCACAATGGCCTCCTTGGTGGTCCTAGAGCACAATGAGCATGCTCTTGCCTCAGGGCCTTTGCACATGATGAACACCGCCCTCCCCCACCCCCCAATGCTCTACCCCAGACATCTGAATGGCTAACCCCTTACCTCTTCCAGGTCTTGACTGAGATGTTGCTTTCACAGTGAGGCTGCCCTGATAAAACTACTTAAAGTTGCAACCCTGCAATATTCCCTATCCTTGCTGGATAGCTATCTAACAGTCTAAATATTTCACTTATTTACCTTGTTCCTTATCTGTTTCCCTCTTACTAGAATGTGGGCTCCACATGGGAAAGGATTTTTGTCTTTTCTATTTATTGCTGCAGAAAATTCTTATTTTTTGAGACAATTTGTATTCCCAACTAGAAGCTGTTTTTCTTTATATCTTTGATTAATTGATTTTTTTAAGAGTACGTATCTAGGTTTATCTCTTGAAATCCCTTCTCCTCCACTTGGTTGTTGGTGGCTCTTTCATATTTGATGATCTGTTTTTGTCTCTAGTGCAGAGAAGTTTTCTTCTACCATTTCTCTTCTTTCTTTTTTCCCCTCCTTCTACATAGTCCCTGGAATCTCTTTCTCAGACACCCTTTGGTCATATGCCATGTCTTTTAACTTCTCTCTCATATCTTCCATTGCTTTAAATTTCCTCCCTTTTGGGAGATTGCCTTGATTTACCTTTCAGCTCACTGACTTCAGCTGTGTGTATTTTATCATGCAGTTCTTTCACTGCCTTTTTGAAAATATATTTTTAATAACATAAATCTCTTTCTTGTTCTCTAATTGCTCTATTTTACATAGTAGTTTGTTATGATAAAAATAACATTCCCAAATGTCTCTGAAGATACTAATTCAGATTTTTGAAAAGACCTCTTCTGTTGTTTACCCCATGGTTAGTTACTTTATAATTTCATTTTAGCCTCTCATTTTAATGCTGTTAGTTTTCCTTACCTTTCCTGATAAGCCTTTATGGACCACACGTATTTAACATAGGTGGCTGACAGGTATTTCCCCTGAAATTCAGTTGATTAGGTTTTCATAATATAACACATTGATTTTTATCTGGTTATAAATAAATGCATACCTAGTATATAAAATATATAAAATACAGGAAAATAAAGGAAGGAAAAAAGCCATGCATAAGTCATTACCTATAAATAACCACTGTTAAAATTTTTGTGTATTTTCTTCCTCGCATCTTCTAACACACACACACACACACACACACACACAGTGCCTACCTCTTGCTATTTAAGATACACCAGTACACTTTGGGAAAGACAAGGTCTCTGCTGTCATGAAGATTATAGTCTAGTAGCAGGAAAAGATAGAACTAAAACAATCACATAGATTAGGGCATAATTACAAATTGCTATAATCCAGAAAGAAAAAAGACATGGTTCTATGATTTCACATACAAAATAACAAAAGAAAACTGAGCTGAACTGGGGTGACAGGAATGCCTTCCTTAGGGACTTGTGATTATGTCCTGAGTGGCACTAAACTAGGTGAAGAGAGGGAGAAGATAATTTGATAAAGAAGAAATATATATGTATATATCCATCCCTGTGGTAGGAGAGAAAAGTGGCTCTGAAGAAAGAGAAAGAAGGGTGGCATGTGAGAACGAAGGAGAGAGTGGGGTAGGCTGCATTTAAGATTTTTGTCTTTATCTTAAAATCATTTGCAGGACTTTAAACAGGGGGCTTGGCATGATTCGACTTATGTTTTGAAAGGGTTACTCTGACTGCGATGAGGATAACTCATCAGTGGAACAGAGCGGCTGTTAGGACTCAAGTTAGGAGATTATTACAGTCATCCAGGTGAGACAGGATGATGACATAAACTGGTGTGGTGACATGGAAGTGGGGAGAAGCACTTAGAGGGAAATGTCACAGGTGCCTCTGGGATTTCTGACTAATACAATTAGATGAATGGGGGTGCTATACACTGCAGGGAACACTATCAGGGGGCCATGTTTATGGGGGGTTTTGAGTTCTGTCTTGCACATGTTCGATTTGCAGAACCTTTGAGACAGTCAAGTGAAGACAGTCGATGACTCATGTTTAAAACTCAAAGAGAGGTCTGAACTGGGTGGGCGATATACACTGAAGACTCATAGGCCTGGAGATGGGGAGCGAAGCTGTGGTCTGGGGAGTTGCTTAACATATGGAGCCTCTTCCACAAAAGATGGCACCAGCTAATACTGCATCAATAGTGCAAGGGTGCCTGTTTCCTCATGCCTTTGACTATACTACTTAGCATCGAGAAATTGTTTGATCTTTTCCAAATTGACAGATAAAAAATAGTATATCCCTGTTACTTTGGCCTGAGTTTTTAAGTGCGGTTGAACATCTGTTTCTACATTTATTAACCATGAATTTTTTTTTCTATAACTCTGAAATGTGAAAATATATTATTCTGGAGAGAAAGTGTGTAGATTCATTGGTTCTCAAACTGACCCTCAAATGGTTCAGAACCACTTATGGGGAGTTGTTCTGAACAAGGAAGTTTAATATTCCACTGGTTAGCCCAGCAAATATTTAACCACTGCTTTCACTGTCCCCTAAAGCCATCTCTCCCACAGGTTAACACGTCCTCAGTGCATTAACCTTTTGAGTTTCTGTCTTCTTAAATTGAGCCTGTGTGGCAGTGGTCATCCTGCTTTGGCTTCGGGGTCACCAGTGCATCCCTGGACACATGTGGCATATTCTACGTTCCTCTTTTCTCCTTTTTACATGCCGTCTTCCTGCTTCTAATATTTTTGACTCACAAAACCAGGAAGATCTGGTGATGTTTCATGACACTGACTGAAACTCATTCCCTCTAATCTGCTAAGGTCTAGATATTCAGCTGGCCAATTATTTCTTTCTAATCACAGAAAACAACATCAGCAAATGTGTCGGGGGTGGGACTGGGGGTTGGGGAGGTAAAGGTGCACATCCAGGGCAGGCTGCTTCTCTTTGCTATCCAGGAGGTGTGGTTTAATCATTGAAAAGAATTCCTGGGCTGTCACTAGGGGGAGTGTGAGTCAAATTTTTCACTTGGAAAATGCCAGAAAGGGGGGTGGGAATGCTGGGACATAGAAAACACTGAAAACTTAGGAAGGAATTTGTGGGGTGGGTCCTGGCTTTTACATTGAGTGTAGGTCTGGACCCGCTGGATGCACAGCCCTTGGTGTGGGATTCATCTGCAGCCAGGAGCTCTAGGCAGAGCTGATGGTGGAGGCCAGGGAGTGGTGGGGGGGACCACACTCTTTACTCTTCCAGGGACAGGGAGGGATGTAGTGCTGGTAGGATGCCTGCGCACACTTTCTAAGGTAGGTGCGTGCCGCTTTGATCTTGCAGCTGATGTTCCGTGAAGGGAGATCCTTCACAATACAAGCTCAGGCACGGTGACATCAGATGGTAAATAAACATTTAATGAGTCCTGCTTGGTACAAACCACTGTTTTTTGTTTTGTTTTGTCTTTTGTTCTGTTTTGTTGAGCAGAGAAAGGTTTACTGCAGGGCCAAGCAAGGAGAATGGGGGACTCACGCTCAAAAAACTGTTCTAAAGGCAACAGAGGGTAGATAGAAAAGTAGAGAAAAAAACAAATGATATAATCCTTGGACTTACAGTTTTAAGTCTTCTTTGGAAATCTGCAATACTTTCGTTTCCACCCTTGTCTCACTTTGTCAATATCTCCGTCTTTAAAATTTTCATCCTTTTGTCTCTGTGGCTGTATTTGAAAACAAGCTCAAGTCTGTTTCCCAGTTCAAAAGAGACTTTTCTTGATCTGACGTTGCTCCTTTACCCCCACCCTGCCCTATCGCTCTCCCCTTCCACAACCAGACGTCTTGAAAGTGGTCTCATGTCCATCACTGCTCATGAATCCCATCCTCAACTACACTTTGAGTTCTGCCCACATCACTCCATGAAACTCTTTGGTCCAAGTCATGGAAGATGGCACTCATTGGAAACGATCCCCCCTAGCCCCACCTCCAGCTACCCAGTTTCCTTTTACACAATCATGGGAAGTAATCTACCGTGTGTTATTCCAGAGATACAGCATATATATTCAATAAAACATATTAATATATCTTTTAATATCTCCTTCCACATAAAGATGCTATGCCAGGCACACTGTTTTATACTTCCTTTTTAAATATGCAATGTACCTTGGTAACCTTTCCATATAAGGAAGTTTATTTATTTATTTATTTTTAAAGGGCAAGGTGTCCATCATATCGAGCTAATAAAATGTATTTAGCCAGCCTGCTTTTAATGGACATTTACTAGTTTTTGATATTTTGCTCTTACAAACAATGCTGCAATGAATGAATATGAATATGTCACTCCATACTGGTGTGACAGTAACTGCAGGATAGATTCTGAGAATTGGGATTGCTGGGTCCAAGGTAGATGTGTTTGTAATTTTAATATATGTTGCTGAATCGTTATTACTCCAGCCAGAAATAAGGGTAAAATGCCCGATTCTCTACTGTGCTCAAAACTTTGCTTTTTGCTCATTTGACAGGTGAAAATCAGTATCTCTGAGTTTTAACTGGGCATCTCTTATGTTTAAGAGCTATTGCGGATTGACTATTTTCTAAATGTGGATCAGCTCATGTAACACATTCTTGATATTTCCAATAGCTCCCATCACCTTTGAGATACAGCTAAACTCCTAAGATGGCCTTTCCTTTCCCTCCAGCCTGCTTTGTCACTGCACCCTCTTCCCACACTCAGCCCTACAGGCTCACCGAGTGGCTTTCTGTTCCTGGAACACTACTCTCTTGCCTCCCATCTGCCGTGTCCTCCCCCTCCAGGTGGCATGCAGTAAACTATTGTCTGTCACCTCAGGGAAGTCCTCTGTGCTTTCCACTTCCAGATGCCCTGCACTTAGATCTATTAGGTCCTTGTGATTTCTCTATCTCCAGCATGACTCTTGACAGGGTGTTGGCCCTTAATAAATATTTGTTGAATGGATGAGAGGCTGAATAGCCCTACCACTAAACAGACATTGTAAGCAGGATTTCTAAGCAGGATTTCAGCTGCTGAATGAAAATTTCTAGATACACTGATCCTTATTCTGTTGCTACCCATGCACTTTCTTTTGTCTCTCTTTTCCTTTTCTTTTTCTCCCTAAATTAAAAACAACCATGGAAATAAATTCCTCTCAAAGTCCATGCAATTCAGTAATTTTGCTTTGAGAAGTGATGGTTCAAAGGAGTATGCTCTTGGCGGTGGCTTTTATTAAAGAAAAGACCAAATTTTTGAGACACTGTATAGGTTTAACTTTCTCTTAATGGGAATGGAAAATAGTTGGCTGTTCATTGGTAGGAGCCGTTACTGCCTGACTTGTTTGCACTGAACACGAGGGCTCAGAGCCCGGTTCTCTTCAGTACAGAGGGGCTTCCTGGCTCCAGCTGGGCTCCAAGCAGAACTAGCTCCCACATCATTCTTTAGGGAGTGTCTCTACTGGTAAGGAGAAGGCTACCACCCCTCAGCAAGCCTGGTTGCTGGTCCCATCTCAGACAACATTGGGCCATAGGACTGCAAAGTTCTCTCATCAGCAAAGCAAGGGGTTCAGACTGGTTAGTTGCTAAGCTCCCCATTAGTTCTGACATTCTTTAATTTAAAATAGTTTTTGGGTGTGGAGAAAAGGAAACCCTCTTACAATATTGGTGGGAATGTAAATTGATACAACCACTATGGAGAACAGTATGGAGGTTCCTTAAAAAACTAAATATAGAGCTACCATATGATCCGGCAATCCCACTCCTGGGCACAGATCTGGAGAAAACCATAGTTCAAAAAGATACATGCACTCCAATGTTCACTGCAGCACTATTTACAATAGTCAAGACATGGAAACAACCTAAATGTGCATTGGCAGAGGAATGGATAAAGAAGACATAGTACACCTATACAATGGAATATTGCTCAGCCATAAAAAGAATGAAATAATGCCATTTGCTGCAACATGGATGGACCTAGAGATTATCACACTAAGTGGAGTCAGACACAGAAAGACTAATACCATTTGATATCACTTATATGTGGAATCTATAAAAATGGTACAAATGAACTTATTTACAAAACGTAAACAGACTCACAGATGTAGAAGACAAATGTATGGTTACCAAAGGGGAAAGGAGGGGAGGGATAAATTAGGAGATTGGGATTAATATATACACACGACTACATATAAAATATATAACTAGTAAGGACCTACTATATAGCACAGGGAACTCTACTCAATATTCTGTAATAACCTATATGGGAAAAGAATCTAAAAAAGAGTGGCTATGTTATATGTATAACTGATTCACTTTGCTGTACACCTGAAACTAACACAACATTGTAACTCAACTATACTCCAATAAAAATTTTAAAAATATATATTTTTTCCATTAGGATACACTAGAATATTTGACATTTTACAGGGGAAAACACTGTTTTCTAAGAATTCCATTTTACTAGGCATGATCATTCATTCATTCATTTCCCAATGGTTCCACACCCACCCTTGGGCAAAACGATGTCACATTAAACAGTAAAACCAAATATTACCAGCTAACGACAGCCATCTTTTTAAGCAGGAACTCCATTCCCTTGAAAATCTCACCTGTATATTTTCTGGGACACACTGACAGGTGTCTTCTGAGAGTCCAGGATCCCTGGGAATCATTTCCGGCCCCCACGGCTATTCCAGGCATAGAGGGAGCCTGAGGTTCTCCAGCATTGCTGCCCTTGTCTCTGCAAAGCTGGGAATCCTCTTCCCCGAGTGTCATTATCTCCTCTGAGCCGAAGCCTGAGGAAACAAGATGCAGCAGCTGTTGCTGAGAACGAGGTGACACAAGGGCCACAGTCTCTCTTAGGCTTCACGGTTCAGCTCCTTGGTCATCTTTGCACGCACCAGTATCCTTACTCCTCCTGAGGATGCGGACTAAAGCCTGTTCTAAGATGAGGTGACATGTTCTCTGAAAACAAGCCAAGGAAAAGTTAAGATAGACCTGGATAGATCATAGAATTTAGTTTATTTATTGAGCACCTGCTGTGAGCTAGGTTCTAGTTCACGCACTAGAAGTAAGGCAGGGTTTCCAACTGTGGGCATGATATAGAGTGTTGGTTTTTTGTTTTTTTCTTTTCAGGGGGACTCTCAGCCCCTACCTAGATCCGTGATTGTACGACAGACAAAGGAATTTGGGCTGGGAGTGGGGGACAGTTCACTTAGCTTCACCTGCCAGCTGTACTGGATTTCAGTTTTGGCCAGCCAGGACCTTTTCTACAAATTCATTCAACAAACGCCTCAAAAGTGTTTTTGTAAAAATATCTCTTTGAGTCAGGCACTGTGTTGTTTTTTTTTTAATAGATCTTTATTGGAGTATAATTGCTTCACAATACCGTGTTAGTTTCTGTTGCACAACAAAGCAAATCAGCCATATGCATACACATGTCCCCATGTCCCCTCCCTCTTGAGCCTCCCTCCCGTCCTCCCTATCCCACCCCCTAGGTCACCGCAAATCACCGAGCCGAGCCGATCTCCCTGTGCTATGCGGCTGCTTCCCACCAGCCAACTATTTTACATTCGGTAGTGTATACAAGTCGATGCTACTCTCACTTCACCCCAGCTTCCCCCTCCCACCCTGTGTCCTCAAGTCCATTTTCTATGTCTATCTCTTTACTGCAGCCAGGTTCATCAGTACCATTTTTCAGTGGTTAGGACTCTGCACTCTCACTGCCAAGGGCCCGGGTTCAATCCCTGGTGGCAGAACAAAGATCCCACATGCTGCACGGTGCAGCCAAACAAACAAACAAACAAACAAAAAAAACCCCAAAAAACCCCACAGTAAACTAAGGTGTGTAAAATATGGCTACTGCTCTTAACAGCTTATATTCACATAAATAAGTGTACAAATAATCATGAGTGATACATGTCAAAGTGAAAACTTAAAAGATTAACGTCAGGGGCTTCCCTGGTGGCGCAGTGGTTGAGAGTCCACCTGCCGATGCAGGGGACACGGGTTCGTGTCCCGGTCCGGGAAGATCCCACATGCCGCAGAGCGGCTGGGCCCGTGAGCCATGGCCGCTGAGCCTGCGCGTCCGGAGCCTGTGCTCCGCAACGGGAGGGGCCACAACAGTGAGAGGCCCTCGCGCGTGTACCGCAAAAACTGAAAAAAATTAAAATTAAAAGATTAACGTCAATTATGGAACTATCATTTGCAGTAGCCAAGTGAAAAGGGGACTCAGGGGGCCACCTAGTGCAGCTGGGTCAGGAAAGATGGGGAGAGCCTGGCCTGTGGAAACGGGGCCTAGGGAGAGTCAGTCATTCACTCAATCAACAAACATGCACAAATAAAGGCTGCAGGCCCAAAGTGAGGGGTGTACGGGTATATGAGGACAGGGGTAGGAAAGCCAAAGAGAAAGCACGTGACACCAGATCGGGAATGTTTTTAACCAATGGTAGAAAATCATGATGCCACTTTATTAACAATGGTAAAGTTATGTTCAAAAATTGAGAAAGCAGGAGTCCCCTGGTGGCCTAGTGTTAGGATTCCGGGCTTTCACTGCTGTGGCCTGGGTTCAATTCCTGATCGTGGAATGGCATGGCCAAAAAAAAGGAGAAGGCAAGGAAGAGTATAAAGTACTTTAGGTTTTATTTGATCGAATCAATCCTGTGTAAAAGCATTCTGATACTTAAAAAATTAGTTTTGTTTTTCTGGAACATTGACGTATATAGAGCTCTTGAAAAATCCTGACTATACATTGGGTTTTACTGGTGTGCTATTTCTGAATCATGCTGGGTTTCTCCCCCCCGGTGCGTTTCCCCAAAATTCACATATGTGGTATCGACCATCCCCTTGAGACTCTAAACGGGCGAGTGCTCTAAGTGGGTAGCGGCATGCTGACCCACGCTGCGGGCAGAGGCCAGGGGAGGAGAGGCATAATTGCGGTGGTCTGGGAGACACAGGCTGTCTCCTGTGGAAGGGCCGTGGCTATCACTTAGAAATGGCATCTCTCCAGAGGTGCAGCAGTGTCAGACACAAAGCCGGACGTGCTTCCAGAGCCACATGGGAGGAGAAAGGGTTACTCTAACCTAGGCCATGGGTGCTGTGTTTGCCTTGGAGGGTTTTACTTCTCCGGGTTTCCCATACTTATCAGCTGCAACCCTCTGGGGTGTGGTTCTCCAAGGATTTTGCCCCCGATATCGTTGAAGGCCTTTCTGTGCACTCACTAGTCCATTCCAAAGGAATTACTCTAAGAGAATCTTCTGATTTCAAATTTGTATTTTTTATCTGGATAATAATATGTTCATCAAATAGTTATTATGGTTGCCTTTGAGGAGTTAAGACTTTAAAGTTTAATACAAAAGTAGCATAAAAGCAAGTATATGTACATGTACATGTATGTATGTATGTATTCATATGTATTTGATTTTATACATTTTTATACATAAAATCAAACTCAAGGGGACAGAGCCTTTCATCCCATAATTGGAATCTCCTCCAATAAGAAAATGCATCTTTTTAGGACTTACAAACTTGACATTTGAATCTTTAAATTTTGGTAGGAAGTAAGTCAGAACTCCAAGAAGATTTTTCTGGAGGCTGTCTTGTTCACAGGTCATAGGTCAGAAACCTATCAGACCCCACAGAAGAAGGACAGGGGCTCCTCCCTTCTTTTGGCTACTGCAAATCCCCTTGAAGCTCCCCGGTTGCTGAGAGTAATTCTAAACCTGTGCGTATGGAAGCTGCCAACATCACTAGTAGCATCATAAAGAAGCATGTAGATGCTCCTTCAGGGTATTTCATTCCAAAAATGTGGTTTCTTTCTGTATGCGGTTTCTTTTAAATGTGCAATGCATTACTGCCCAGGTTTGGGAGAGGAAAAAAATAAAGATGGATACATGTAATTAAAATAAAACCAGGGCCATAGAAGACTGTTTATAGAACAGTAAAACGTTTAAAAAAAAAATCAGAGGATCGCAGCCCCTCACCCCCAAAGGAGAAACCATTATTTTTCTTCTATATAATTTATGCAGTTACAAAGCTGCATGCACCCTGGTGACAGGTCTCCATAGGCGGAGGCAGGCTGCAGTGTCAGTGCCTAGGGTTGTGGACAGTCTTCTGACACGCTCACCTGCCGGAGACAGCTCTTACTTCTCTCCCTGCGCTTGGTGAAGGGAATCATTCTCAACTGAGAAGGACTGAACTGAGATCCTGAGAACGTACTGCTCAGGGTGTGAAGCAGAGTCCACTGGCTAGAAGTGTGGGTCATATTTAACAAACCAGACAAAAACTAGTTGCCACTATCTGGACTCCCATCCCACTCCCCTCATGCTTTGATCAATTTAATCCTGAGGTGTCAGTAAGAAACGAGAAGGAGAGATTAACCAGTAGCAACAAAAAGTCAAAGATGATGCCCTAGTTTATGGCTGTAGCATCACAGGGTCAGTTTGTTTCCCCCAAGTGCCTTTCAAATTCAAGAGGCCGAGCCAATCAGAGGCTGTTCTTTGGGACAACGTTTATTTCCATCATTAGCCAAGTGAGCGGGGGTTATTTTTGCAGGGGCTTATACAGGCCGCCGAAGCTTGCTTGGTATTTTCTAGCAATTTCTTAAAGCATCTGGATAAGCTTCCCTTCTTCCTCTTACTGCTCCCCACCCCACGGTTTCCAGAACTCTATCCCTCCTTCCTCTCTCAAGAGTAAATCATTACTTCCTCTCAAGAAGGACAGGGTGTCTGACCTTAGGGGCCACGGGCATGTCACGTGGAGGCATGTCAAGCTGCCCCTATGGCTCACCTCGTCTCCCTATCTCCAGGATGGAGCCCAGAGCTGGGGTCATCACACAGGAGCTTTAGCAAGCTTACGTGAAGCTCTGATCAGAGGGGATATTTGGAGACACTCAGAAAGTTCCATCTTGAATCCTCACGTGGTCCTCTGTTAAGAATGTTTTCCCTTAAATGTTGAGGGATGAGTCATAGATAGCAAAAGTGAGAGCTGGAAAAAATGACCCTCCCTGGAGACCTGGCAGTGAAAGGTCTGCCTTCAAAGCAAGTTCTTCATGGAAAATGTCCTTTCTCAAGTAGTACCAAATATACTAATTATGCAAGCAAACTTTGGATTGGCCATTGCTACCCAAATGTGTCAGCCTGCCATTCTGTGACTGCTGGAAATGCCATTTGCACAGTCTGTTTTTCTCCTAGGGCTTACTGACACACACAAGAGCAACGCCGAGGCCTTCCCAACTACAACATGTTAAGTATCAGTTAAACTTAGTGTTGTCTTGACCACAGTCCTAAGAGTCTGGCCCTACGTTGCCAAACAGGAATGCAAACTTGGCCCACTGTTCCCTGTCTTTTTACAGATGCTGTCACCCCTTGGATTCTTCTATCCCAACTAAGTGCAGACCATTACACAGAGCGGGAGGCATTCAGCGAAAGCAAGAACATTCCCACACATGTGTGCATTGTTTTAAGTGAGCTGCGTAAGAATATATTTAAGGTAACTCAAGAGTCTGAATCCTGGAAGATTTGCTATTAAGGGTACCTTTTGCATAACCATTCTTTAAATTTTGATGACCCAGGTGTAACGTGTACAATTCCTTTCTATGGACAAAGCATTTGGTTAACTGGTCTTTGACTGGGTGATGCCTCTTACAGCATTACGGCAGTGTAATTCCTTAGAGCATTATGTGTGCTTGATTTTACTCTGGGGGAAAACATCCCTTTCCTTTTCTTAGAGACATTTAATTAATAAATGAACCCAGATATTTAGATTTTTTTATTCTCTAAAAATAGGCTTTTCAAAT